ATTGGGGGGCTGAGAGTCATAGATCTGGGGGATGGGGGGCTCAGAGTTGTGGGGATCGGGGGAATTGGCGGTTCTCGGGGAGGTTCTGCTGGACGGTTTTGGGGTCCCGGGAGGAAGGTGGGATTTTACCTCATCCTCTCTGGCCTCATGCAACTCTTCAGCTGCCGCCCGGCACCGTCCTGGCCGGCGGTACTGGGGGGCGCCCGGGGGGGTGCCCGGCCCTTCATCACCACGCTGTAGTTCTTGCCCTGGTTATTTGCCCAGTAGACGCCCTCATCGGTCTGGTACCGGATCACGAAATCCAGCCGGGCTTCATCCCCCTCCTCCTCTTCCTCGCCCTGCTCCTCCTGCTGGCCGGGGCCGAAGGGCAGGCTGAAGGTGAAGCGGTCGCTCAGCCCCCCGTCGGGCGAGCCCCCCGGCACGTAGCGGGCGGGGTGGTCGCGGTAGGTGCGCCAGCTGTCCCGGCTGGCCCGCACATGGACGGCTTTGCGATAGGTCACGTTCAGCACCCGCACGGTGCCCCGCAGCAGCCATGGCTCGCCCGGCTCCGGCGCCAGCACCTCCTCCAGCTCCACCATGGCCCGGCGCAGCCGCACCAGCCGCTCCGGCTCGCCCTGCCCCGCCGGGGGCAGCACGAAGGCGGGCAGGAGGTAGGGGGCGAGGGGCGGCTGGCCGGCGGGGGACAGCACCCCGGGGGGCGACTCGGGCGAGGGGGGCGGCCAGGGCTGGTAGCGCCGCAGGCGGGTCAAGGGCAAGCCCAGGGCATCGGCGAACAGCACCCGGCGCGCCCCCGCTGCATGCTGGGAGAGCGGCTCCTGGCCGGGCCCCATCGCATGCTGGGACAGCGGCTCTTCGCTGTGCCCCAGTGCATGCTGGGAGAGCACCTCCTGGCTGGGCCCCATGGCATGCTGGGAAAGCGGCTCTTCACTGTGCCCCAGTGCATGCTGGGAGAGCACCTCCTGGCCGGGCCCCATCGCATGCTGGGAAAGCGGCTCTTCACCGTGCCCCATGGCATGCTGGGAGAGCACCTCCTGGCTGGGCCCCAC